TAGACTCGAATGTACGCTCACACTTTAACATTTTGTGTATCTAAGTAAAAATGCGTCACTAATTTATGAATAACATTCACTGACTGAAAGTTCTTAAAAAAAACGCAAAAGTGTTCCAAGGTATGAGGAATGCAACCTGCATCAGACAACTTAACAAACCACATATTACCAGTACACTATCCTCCATTTCACTCACGAAACTGGTTAATCTTAATATAGGTGGTGCTATCGCTTGGGAATTTCAAGGGCTCATAACTTCTTCCAGAGAAACGCTTCGCAGACAGGCAGATTTGAAATCAGCGTTCAAAACTGCATCTACTCGTATACATCTCTTCTAATCGTCACTTCAACTAAGTATCCTTCCCCTATTTAGGAAAGGAATGAAACAACTTTTCGTGCTCATGTTAAGTTGAAACTGAATCTCCAAGTTTATAAGTAATTGATTGAACCGTCCCAAGCATCCAATAAATAACGAAGCGTATAGAAAACCGGAGACGCAATTACAACTAGGCAAGTTTTTTTGAATACAATTTATAGGAAGAAGGAGTAGTTAGTCCGCCAAGCAAACGACTTTCGAACAGTCGCTAACGGTCTCTACCCTGAAGAAAACTGGGCATTTCGCAACCTGCATTGTATTTCTCTTCATTATTTTCGCACAGAAAAGGGTCACTTGAACATTTATAAAATTGAAAAAAGAAGTTGGTCGCATATTTTGGTATACAGTTCACCTCATTTTGATGTATGTCACTGAACAATTCTCCTCTTTGCTTCTGCTTTGAGTGTTGTTCTTTTCATTTTTTGAGAAAAAATACGTACTTTAAAGAAGAGCTATGCAAAAAGTTTAGAGACGATGGATATCTCGTATTCCACATTGCGGTTACTCATGCCATCACGTTTGAGGACGACATGGGATAACATCCACTGGTGTTGTGGATGTTATTCCCTGTCGTTATCGTTTATTGTTACCCCATGTGTTCAAAAAGAGTTGATTCAATAATTTTTCAGTGGAAATGCAATATATAGGTCCTTTGAAACGTACTTAAATGTTTATTAGCACATCCTTCACGTTTACTTATTCAATGTTACAGATGACTTGTTGACGAATTTTATTTCCATTTGCTTGAACACATATCTCTTGATTTGCCGAAAAATGCCAAACACTGAGGCGAGTAGAGTGGAGGCGAGTACCACCATCACAACTAAATAGTGTACAATTAGTTCCTTAGGGTAAAACAGTTTCCTCATATTTTTTGTATGGTAAACGTTGTCACTGACAAAAGGACTCACAAACACGGCCAATGTCGTCTGCCCGGACAGGAAGAGTACTCATCCTTTCCAAAAATAATCGCTCATCACACAGATTCACCAAGTAGATTAGAGAATACGTTAATGCCGCTATTAGTACTAATGAGAGGATCTCCTACAATAAGAAGTAAATGGTAAGATGTATTAATGAAATGAAGCGTTGCCTCGGATCCAATATGAGGCCTTTCCCATTCTTTAAGCGCCTTCAATGTCCGACCACTTCGAGCGTATTTTTCCTGGCAGATTTCGCATTGGTCCTTATTAGACATCGCCACCCACCGGGACAAGCACCTTTCATGAATGTCTCCCATCTGCATCTACCATTTGTGGCTCAAAAATCATAATGAAACTTTAACAATATACCGTTCCGGCACAGGCGCACGGTCGCACCATTTCACCGCTTTCTGACTGACATATACGGCATGCCCTTCTTTCGACTGATGATGAATTTTCACTGTCTGATACGCATCTCAATGGAATGTAATTAACACATAGAACCTCCATTTCATAGACATTTTTTTCAAGTTAGTCTCCTTCCCTCCGCTCACCTTGTTTTCTGGCTCATAATGGGTAAAGCAGTACATGCTGTTCTCTCAGAGGCGCAGTGAGTATCTATAGTGGGTGAGTATTGCGTCACGGAGCAAATCATTGAGGGCGACATGCGAGTTGACGCTAAAATCGAACTGGAAGCATCAGACTCTTATCAGCGGCTCACCCTGTCTATTATTTTATAGTATCTTCTTCCCAAAAATTAGCATTAAATGACTTGGAGAAAGCGTGGACCTAGACACGTAGTCTGTTTCCAAAATCTGGCCCTCCGGTGCTATATTGTCCACAGCCAAAGCGAAGGCCAAATGACTCTGGCGTCAAGCTACCTGGGTAATTAGTATTCTTATCTTTCCGTTTTTCTCGTGCCCTTGCCTTACGTTTTTCCAAATGGAATTCTGATAGCAGAGGAAGAGAAGCTGTCAGTTTTCAGGTGAACATCTTACATATAGTTATAAAGATCATTGTTGTGATTCGCAAACAGAAAAGCACGATCGGGTCGGGTTTAGGTAAGCAGGCTGATACTTGTTTTTATCAAGCTATCAACATCTCGCCATGCACCGCCTAGATTTATCACTGCTTAAAAAGGATTACATACATATTTGCAAGCAGCTGCGGTCGAACTGCAGCGGCAACAAGGAATGTGCTTTACTTTAGGGAACCACACCTTTTTCACCTTAATCTCAAAGAGGGCTAGGAAATCGTAATGATTAAAAGTTGTAAAAAAAA